AAGTTTGGCCATAAAAGAGAAGTCAGAATCTGTCCTGCAATCCAACCCAAATACTATTCAGAATTTTACCTATAGTTGGAGATCTAGAAGGCTAAATGATGTGAAATTTGGTGGGTAGAAAGAAAAGACAATTTCCAACAACTTTCATGAAGAAAACGTGCTTAAACTCTGATAATAGCAATGTCATTTCATCCAAACAAGAGTTTAAGGGCTATCCACCACGTCTACCAGTAGCACTACTTAATAGTTTAGACATCTCAAGCTATAGTGCTCCAAATTCTCTGAAATGTGGTGGGTGGAAGGTAAAGATAATTTCTAATAACTTTCATGAAAAACACTTTGCCGAATTCTGATTGCATCAATGTCATTTCATCCAGTCAAAATGCTTGAGTGTTGTTGTCCACTAAATCAATAAGAAATCTTGTTAGAAAGCTAACATCCCTAACTATAACTTTGTTAAAAAAACTTATTCTAATTTGTTATTTTCAAGCCCTTAACTCAAATGGAAGTTCTATGATATAGCTATCTAGATTTTCAATTTTTACTCTTAACATGCAACAAAGTATTTTGATTTATTTTCTCACCATTTAAAGCAAGTATTTCTCCTTTACATAATTTATAACATCATTAAATATAACACCAAAATAATCAACTAATTTTTCTCACATCCTATTTGAAATAACCAAAACTCTCTCATGGAAAACACCTTCACTTTCATTAACATTCTTTCATCAATAATACTTCAACATTACATAAAAATTCCATAATCCCCTACAAGATTACAATGTTTATAATTCAAAACATAATCAATCTTTCCATAACAAATTAAACACAAGATTTCTATTTCTTTTTAATTCATTCTCCATATTTCAACGAATGCTATAATAAGTATAAACAAACAACATTCACGTGTTGTTTTAATTTTTTATCAATTTTTTTCCTTTATGGCTAACACCACCACCTTTAACAACACTATGATTGTTTCTTTATTTGTTCATTGTTCTAAATTGCTTTCATTAATTTCTGTCCAATTTACATCAAACAAAGCATAATCAATCTTTCCATTATAAATTAAACAAAAGATTTCCATTTTTTCTCAATTCATTATTCACATTTCAACACATGCTATAATAAATACAAACAAACAACATTCATGCTTTCTTTTAATTTTTTTTTCAATTTTTTCTCTTTATGGTCAACACCACCACCTTTAACAACACTAGGATTGTTTCTTCATTTATTCAATTTTCTAAGTTGTTTTCATCCATTTCTATCCAAATTACATCAAGCAAAGCAAATTTCTCATCCACCCCCCCCCCCCCCAATCCTCACATGGACCCTAGTATAGAATTTATAATTTAAACATCAATTTTAATTGTATTTAATTTTACTTGTGTAATCGACTTTAAAGCCTTTTGCCAAGTGATAAAATGAGCTTTGATTCTCCACATGCCAAAATTTCTTGACACTTCTTTTTTCTTCCTCTTAGTTGGCTTCCTATCTCTCTAAATCCCTAAATTTCTTTCACTTATTCTTTTTAGATTCTTGCTTTGATGATGTTTTCCTCACGACTTAGCCTAAATCTTACCCAAACCCTTTAATTTATAGTATTTCTACTCAATTTTGATGAAGAAAATTGAAAAATATTCTCCCCCTTTATTATCTTTTGCTTTTGGATTTAGAGAGAAAAAAATGAGGCATTTATAATTCAATTTATTGCTATTCACATATTGACCCCATATTGCCTAGTTATTTCATTTTATCTCCACCTTTTTCTACTTTCTAACAATTAGTGCTATATTCATTTTTTTATTTTTTAAAAAAAAAATTTATCCATTGTTATTTTATTCAATATCGTTAATTTAATTTAACTCATTCTATCTCTAAGTTAAATTTTTAATATTTCAAAAAACTTTAACTAAGGTTTTACAATCATAGTAGTAAGAATCTGGGGAAAAACAAACAACATGTACTCTAGCTTTCTTTGGAAAAAGATTTGGGGCAAATGATACCATTAATATTTTTAAAAAATAAGAGCTCTTGTTCTAGTGCTTTCTAAATAGGCTACATGCACCTGGCTAGCTAAATTTAATAATACTTGACCTTTTTATTTTATTTTTTAAAATTAATGTTCATTTTATATGTATTTTCTTAAATAGTTTTTAACTTATATTTAAATTAATATCCTTTCTCTCTAATTTTTTTTAATCTTTTGGTTTAACCTTTTTTAAATAATGTTTGTTTTTTTTAATTATTTTTTATGTATGTAATTTTTGAAGAGATTATTCCAATTCATATATAATTCTTTTTTTTTTTTTTATGTTTTACATAAATGAAATTTTTTTAAAAAATAAAAAAATATTTATTTTTGGATAGTATTTCTAATAAGTGCAACCTTGCGTGATATTTTTTTTCTCTTTGATTTTATTTAATCAATTTCATATATGTGTCTATTTCTACTATTATTTGATTATATAAAAAAATTAATTTTAACAAACAAAGTCATTGAACATAACCAGGTAAATAGCTCATGTTATGAGATCGTATATCTTAATTTATATTCTTTTGATTTTTTTAGTTATGTCTTTAGTTATTGTTAATAATTTTTTTATTTATTGACACAAATAATTATTTAATTAGATGCATGCATAACCTTTTCAAGAGACACTTAAAGATTTTCTACATACAAAATGCATACAAAATGCCTTCATGTTTAATTTTTTTTATTGGAAAAAAAATCTAGTCCGCAGCTGCTACTAATTATTATACTATGCACTAAAACCTTGGGTTGCAAAATAGGTGGATTTTTTTAATTTTTGTTTTTTTATAAACCTAATCTTTCAATATTTGCTTGATTTTAAATTTATCTTCATGAATTTTTTGGTTTATTTTTTATAAAATTATCACAGTTTCAAATAAATATCTTATCATTTGATTTATACTTAACTTGTGCTTGATTTTATGATTTATGTTGTGATAGTATAATTAAGTAAAAAATAGTATATTTAAAATTAAAAAAAAAGTTATTAAACCTAGCAAAGTCCATGACCCGAATCATATATTTGACATATTAAGCTGTGAAACCCTAGTTGATCCAATATATTATTATTTTAATATTAAAAAAAGTCATTTTGATTTTTCTTTAAAGGGAAACTATGTTTTTATGGGTCGTCTGAGCTCCCTTAGAATTTACCAAGTTGATCAAGTCATATTAAGATAACTCTTACATAATTTAATTTTAAACCTTGATTAAATAAGAAGTCAAATTAAAATATTTTAATATTGACATTTTAAATTAAATTTAATAATAATACAAAATAATTTTTATTATCTAAATATTTTTTTATATTTTTTCTAATTTGAACCATAGCGTAACATAAACTCATGGAAGTGTAGTTATGGTTGCTTTTCAAAATATTTTTCACTAATAAATGTATTAAAATAATATTTTTTATTTTTTAAAAATTATTTTTGATATCAGCGTATCAAAATTATATAAAATCACAAAAAAAATATTAATTTGAAGTAAAAAATAAAAAAAAATTAATTTTTTTTAAATATTTTTATAAAAGATAAACAAAATATCAAATATATAAAAAGAAAGACAAGTGACATTTGTACCCAAATTCTTATTATATTACTCTTTAATATACTTCATTTTTTATTCTCTTTTCAAGATATTTAAAAAACAAATATTTAAAAAACACATATTTATTATCATTATGAAACCTGACTTAATATATTAATTTAATAATTTTGTAACTTGAAGTATGTGTTTGGATGAGGTTTTATTTAAAATCATTTTATGCATCAACTTTTCTTGTTAAATTCGAGTAATTGTAATCTAATGAATTAATCAAACTTGAATGAAATATAACCAAGTTATTTTTTAAAATATTAAAATAATATTATTTTAATAAAATAATTTATTTATATTAATTATAGTTATTAAACCCAATCTAAGGTTGATCCAGAGTTGACTCGATTAAGAGGCCGGGTTGCGAGTTACATAGGACAACTCAAATCAACTTAAGTCAAGTTAGAAAAATTAAAAAAAATATTTAAAATTTTATAAAAAAATTAAAAATAATTCATGAGAATATAGACTATGCATGTTGTAAATAATGAAATTTAAAAAAATATTTTAAAATTTTTTTATTTGATATTGAAAATATATTATATTATCCTTTTAAGTTGAAGTATTTAAACTAAAAATTTTTTTTTAAACTTAGAATATATATACTAACATGATTTAAATTTTACATTGAAAAAATAATTTTTTTTAAATATAGAGTATATATATATATATATATATTAAAAGGTTTTAAATCTTTCAAATCTTATATTGAAAAAATATTATATTATTCTTTTAAGTTGAAGTGTTCAAATTAAATTTTTTTATTTCATTGTCAAAAAATATAGTTTTTTATAAATATAGAATATATATATTGAAGGACTTCAAATCTTATGTGTGTAGAAATGACAAGTTCCTCAAGTGAAGGACTTTAAATCTTACGCTAAAAAATAACTATTTTTTAGGAACATAGAATATATATATAGAATTTTTAATTTTACATTAAAAAAATAAAATATTTTTCTTGTATTTATATAATAAATTTTGAAAATAATTAATAACTAATTAAAAATTAAAAAGAAAAGAGTTTAATAAAAAACCTCATTTAAAGAAAAAGGTCTCATTAAGGTTCATTTAGGTCATAAATGGACCAGCCGAGTTGATTATTTGACAAGATTTTTGCAGTCTTTTGTTTTATTTAAATCGATGCAGTTATCAGATTGATCGAATACAAATCGACTTGCCGGGCCTGATTAAATTTAATAAGTAGGTTGTTAAGTTAATAATCATTACATTGAATTAGTAACCCGATGAACCGAGCATAAACCGTGTCAGACCTTACACGGAATCTCTTAACCATGACAAATCCCATTTATGATATTATAATACAATAAATATTATATAAATATAAATTTCTCATTTTTCTAATCACTCTCACTTCCGTTTCTCTCTCTCTACAACTATCCCAGAAAACTGAGCCTTTTCTTTCTAGGAAGATAAAAAAACCAGAAAGGCCTCAACTTTAATAAGTTACTAACTGCGTGGCTCTTCTTTTAGAGATCTACTTGTGGACAGCTCCAGATAGAGATTGCAGAGAGAGAAGTACAAGTAGAGATAGAAAGAAACTCACACTTATAGGAAGAGAAAGGTAAAAAGGAAAGAAAAAAGAAATAATCTTCTTTATTTATTTTCCGAAGAAAAAAAGTTGGAAAGGTTTAAACTTTTGTTTTGTGCGGATTTCTCTATTTTATTTTTGAGGAATCGAAGTCGACCATGAAATTTGTACAAAGCTGGGGTTTTTTGGCCGAATCAGATCTGTGAAGGGTTTTTTGATTGAATAAGTTTTGCGGGCTCATTTCATTTCTAGGTTTGAAGTTATAGGGGTTGAGTTTTCGGGTATTGATGGATTTTTGGTTCATTTGATGAACTCTTATCAGTTTTGCTCACCTTGAGCTGGTTTTTTGTATTGGTTTATGTAGTGGTGAGATCTGAGTTGGGTTTTGCATTTTTGTTGTTACTAGGATTTGGATTTTCATGTTCTAGCTATAAGCTTAATTGAGTTGTCATTAATTAAATCTAGGAGTTAAAGTTGTTGAAGTTAGTTTTGGAAATGATAATTTTAAATATGCTAATATAAGGATGCAAAATATATGTTTTTTGCCTCTCTGGATTGTGTGTATCTTTGTAATTGAGCTTGTTGGGGATGCTTTAATTAATGACTATATGAGTTTTTTTTCGTACAGTGTCTTTGTTACTTTAGTGTTCTTTTTTTTCTTTGTAATTTTTTTTTAAAAAAAACTGCATTCTTTATAGTAGGCAGAATTGATTGATGTCTACTGAATTCCTATTGCCTGATGTCTTCTTCTTCTTTTTTTTTTAATCCTGTGAAGTGATTGCATGCTTCAAATTAGCCTTGTAAGTTACAATCTTGCGGTTATAGTAGCTTACCTTATCCCATCGAGCACCAAAGCTCCAAGTTATGTAGTTTTGTTTTTGCAGTTTGTTTAGCTGTCAAACTGATCTTATTCATGTTTCAGGATAGCACTTCAGAGGAGACGCAAAAATTCAAATTATTGTTGGAAGGTTTACATGAATCTGACTAGCTGCTAGTCATTGTCAGGAGATGAATAGCCACGTTAATAGCCCATCAGTGTCACTCCAGTGTAGCATGCTAGCTGATTTTGCAAGTGTCAGATTGGTATCTGATGATCACAGCTAATATTGGAATTTCTGCTAGCATCACCATTCGACTAACCTTTCCTTGAAGAGATTCTACTGGGTGTGGTCTGGCTAAGTGCATTTGATAGAGCTTTGCTTACCGAATCATCTTTGCTGTTGTTTGACTTGCCCTGTTCTTTCTGTGTGAAGTGCTTCAGAGGAAGCTGTTCTGACTTTAGTTTTACTCATGCAAGCATTTTCAGTCAAAGTTGTTAGTGTTTCTCTTGAATAATTAGTGAAAATAGGTATAATTATTAGGAGATGCTTCTTTAAGCGGCTATATTGGCATTCTCTGGGAGGTTCTTCTGTTGCTTGGAAGTGTTATTAAATATCATACCGTAGGTGGTGGTTCAGTTTTGTTTGAAACACTGATCAGTAAAATGGACACTGAATTTGCAAATGCTAACCATCCACTGCATTTTCTTCATCGACTGCTTCCTGCTGTTGGACCTGGACTTCTGATTGCAATTGGATATGTTGATCCTGGAAAGTGGGCAGCAACTGTTGAAGGAGGTGCTCGTTTTGGGTTTGATCTGGTACTACCGATGCTCCTTTTCAATTTTGTTGCCATTTTATGCCAGTATCTCGCTGCTCGAATTGGTGTGATCACTAGAAAAGATCTTGCCCAGGTATCATCCTATTTCCTTAAGGATATTCTATGAGAAATTTTGTATATTTACTTTTGTTGACATGCTAATACTATGATCTTATATGTTTCCTTCAAAGAGAAAAATAATTTTGTATTGTTTGTGTTTTGTCCTTGATCCAGTTGTCTTGAGCTTGTTTTCCATTTTGCAAATGGAAATAATGAAATAGTAAAATTTGGAAATGAGAAATAGATTGGTTTAGTCCACATGGTACTGGTTATGTCATGTCCCTTGCTTTCCAATTGAAAGTGTAGAGGTTCATCAAGGATACTCTACTGAGAACTCTGGTTTTGTATTGTTTTAATGTTCCATGTCATGCTTCTTGCAATCTGATGGATGTGCCTCTCTTTAGCATGACTGGAAGTTAGCTGGGTTCTTCATAGTCCTCTACATGTTCCATTTGATTGACATCTGAGCAAGCACATCTGTTTCTGTAAAGAAATTATCAAACCATTTGTAATTACATCCACAGATGTATATGGGGTGATGTTTTTCCACCTATCATTTGCATTTCAAAGTTCATTAGCCTATTTTCTAATTATTTGGTGTGTTCACTAACTATTCTACACCCCCAACCCCCAATTATGGCTTGAAGTTTTACAATTTTCCTTTTCCTTATGATCCCATAGATCTGCAATGATGAGTATGACAAGTGGACATGCATGTTTCTAGGAGTTCAGGCAGCGCTTTCCGTGATTGCATTGGACCTCACTATGGTAGTTTCTCTCGATCTTAGTTGTTTAGTACATCTGGTTGCCTATTCAAAAGATATGGGTTTAAGGCATCTGGATGTGATTTATGCTACTTGAGATCCCTTGTTGTGGTCATAACTTGTGAATTGTTTTCAACAGATTCTTGGCATTGCACATGGTCTTAATCTTCTCTTCGGGATGGACTTATCCACTTGTGTTTTTTTAGCTGCTGCTGATGCCATTTTATTTCCAGTTTTTGCTACCCTCATGGTAAGACCACTTGCTTGGATTCTTTTGCCACCTCACCTTAGAAATATCACTATTGATTTTGTTACCTTTTTCCCAGGAGAGATGCAAGGCAAGTTTCCTGTGCACATGCATTGCAGGCTTCATATTACTTTTGTATTTCTTTGGGGTTCTCCTCAGCCAACCAGAAATCCCTCTTTCCATAAACGGGACGCGAACAAAATTTAGTGAGGAGAGTGTGTTTGCCCTGATGAGTCTACTTGGAGCAAGTATCATGCCTCACAATTTTTTCCTCCATTCTTCTATTGTGCTGGTAATTCTTTTTCTCCCTGCCCTTAACAACCCCCCCTCCCACCCAAAAACAAAGCCCTCCTGTGTGTCTCTGACTCTTTGAGTACATTGTCAATATCATTTTGTATAATGTTCAGTGAGGCTTTTCTGGCATAGCATATTTGGCATGCTGCTAGTTTTATATCAATACCTTCCAGTGATTTTTGAGGTGTCTTTTTTAGGACATCTGAGGTTTAGATTTTGGAGCAGAGAGGATATATTGTGTTTATGCTACTTCTCTACTTGAATGTTAGTTTGTACTTATTTTCTTTTACATGTGGTTTTGTGTCAATTGTGCAATGCTTGAGTCTAAGTGTACATTTGTTTTGGGATCTTTGTCGCTTAGCATGGCCTTTCCATTCTAAAATGATTTGGTTTTCATTTGACTGATAAATTTTGATATTATGGAAACTTAATGGCTTTGTGACAATGGAACTGGCAATTGGTTTGATGAGGTATTTGATATGAGTAATCTACCTTTGCTGGCTGGTGCTTTATGGTGCACCATCCCAAAATCAACAAGCCTGCTGTCTTTTTGATTTTTTTAATACAACCAAAAACCCAAAAAAGCATATCCTTCTTGTGTAGCTTTGTGAAAGGATATGAATGTGCTTTGCTGGCTGGTGCTTTATGGTGCAACATCCCAAAATCAACAAGCCTGCTGTCTTTTTGATTTTTTAATACAACCAAAAACCCAAAAAAGCATATCCTTCTTGTGTAGCTTTGTGAAAGGATATGAATGTGCTTTGCTGGCTGGGGCCTTATGGTGCAACAACCCAAAATCAACAAGCCTGCTGTCTTTTTGATTTTTTAATACAACCAAAAACCCAAAAAAGCATATCCTTCTTGTGTAGCTTTGTGAAAGGATATGAATGTGCCTCCAATCATGAACTAACACAATTATTCCCCATCTCTGTAAGTTTGCATAAGTTCCCTTGCAATGGTGAGGATGTGGGTGTTCAAATGCAAAGAGAAGATTCATGATTTGAATCTGGATTCTCTTAACAAATTAAAGCTAGTAGAGCATCTTTTTCTTGTCTTATCTTTAGACATTTTGTTTACATGGCAATATGACAATTTGAAGCTGGTTAGGTGTCTGAAAATGTTTGATGAAGGCTCCTATGGAGTTCGGGTGAAAAGAAACTGACAGAGTGGATTGTATGATTCAGAGTCGCAACCATCAAGTTGTCTGTGTTTTAGGGTAGTTGCTGAATGTATCATTCATTGCATAGCTGGTCTTTGTGATGGGGAAATAATGGCTTTGGTCTGCGAGTTGTATCATTCAACCTGTACCAGAATCATTATAACTTAAAATTTGATTGGTAGGATTCTGATAGCTGATTTCTTATAATTGTTGAATCTTTCAGAAAGCACCAGTGGGGATGTTTTCTAAAGAATACCTAACAAGAACCCTGGATTCTGGCAACATTCAACTTTTGTGTATTCATTATGAATGATATTGTTTTGAGGCTTGAAGCAGATACTAACTGCCCATGGAGGCCTTTTGTTGAGAATACAGTTTACCTTTAGTAAAAACGTGTTGCAAGCTTTGAACTTGATCTTCACGTATACAAACTTATTTTATTATGGTGGTGGAGAAAGCCAAAAACTACAGAGGGGAATTCTAGGATGGTTTTGTCTCTTTTTTGGATCTTCCTAATTGGCTTGTTATTTTTTGATTTGAACTTAAGCTAATCTTGTTATTTTTTGCTTGCAATGAATTACATCACTGCAAGCGGCCCCTCCAACTTAAAACTAATGCTCAACCTTTTTGTATTAACTTCATGAACTAGCATATGGAAGCCAAGATCTCATCATTTTTGTTTTCAGTTTGAGTTTGTTGGTTTGATTGCTTAAGAACCCTGAAAAGCTTCCAACTCATGCTCATTGTTGGAAAACAGAAATGAATGTAACATGCAGGCCTGGTCAATGCTTAATTGCTGTTATTTGATAAAGCTCTACCATAGTTCTATTATTAGGTTTCATACACTTTCAAAACAAGTTTAATATCACTTAATAGCTTTTTTTTATCACTTTCTAGATTTTGAGATCTTTAATCTTCTTGCAGCAACATCAGGGACCACCAAATATTTCCAGGGATGCCTTGTGTCTTAACCATTTTTTTGCCATTTTATGCATCTTCAGTGGCATCTATCTGGTAAATTATGTTCTTATGAACTCTGCTGCAAATGTGTTCTACAGCAGTGGCCTTGTTTTACTTACTTTTCCTGATGCAATGTCACTTATGGAACAGGTACATTTTTTTTTCCTCTTATTTATTGGTTGTGTAGATGTTTCTTTTCTGGTGTGCAAGCATTATTCTGTATGAACTTGGTAAATACGTACTACTTTGATTCGAAATGATCATTTCAGGTGTTCAGGAGTCCAGTAGCACCCTTTGGCTTTTCACTCATCTTGTTTTTTGCGAATCAAATCACAGCATTTTCCTGGAATCTTGGTGGGCAAGTAGTTTTACACAATTTTCTCAGATTGAATATTCCTAATTGGCTTCAACGTGCGACATTCAGAATTATTGCAGTTGTTCCAGCCCTTTATTGTGTGTGGACTTCAGGAGTTGAAGGAATATACCAGTTGCTTATACTTACACAGGTTATGGTTGCTTTACTTCTTCCATCTTCTGTGATCCCTCTTTTCCGTGTTGCTTCATCAAGACAAGTGATGGGTGTCTACAAAATTTCTCCATTCTTGGAGTTCGCAGCGCTGATTTCATTCATGGGGATGCTTGCCATAAAGATTACTTTTGTGGTGGAAATGATATTTGGGGATAGTGATTGGGTTGGTAATTTGAGATGGAGTACAGTAAGTGGTTCGTCTACCTCTTACATTTTTCTTCTCATTACTGCCTGTTCATCATTTTGTTTGATGCTCTGGCTAGCAGCTACCCCATTGAAATCTGCTACTCGCTCAGATGCTCAGGTATGCAACCGGGATGTACAAAATGCTGTATCCGAGCCATCCACGCTGATAGAGGAAGAATTTTTGACTGAAAATAGATGTACTGGAGAGGAACTTATCGAGAGGCAGGAACAATTACCAGAACCAGGGAAATCTTTTGAGAGTTACTCAGATATAACTGTTGCAAATGCTGATCCTGATTTGCCTGAGACAATTATGGAGTCTGATCAGGAACTTCATTTGACCACTATCAAAGAAAAACATTCTGAAGTCACATTTTCTAGTCCCCAAACATTTTATGAGGAAACATCACCTGCAACAGAGTCAGCATCTCCGTCAGCTGCTGTCAACTTGGTTCCTGATGCCGAATTGCTTGTTGCCAAGAAGGCTAATATTGAATCAATGGACCCAGTTGAAAAAACTCTGGATATAGAGGGAGAGTTGCATACTGAAAAGGAGGATGATGAAGGGGATAACTGGGAGCCTGAAGATTCATCCAAAGGGGTTCCTGGAAGCACTTTGTCTTTGACATCTGATGGTCCTGGATCATTTAGGAGTCTTAGTGGTAAAAGTGATGCAGGTGGGAATGGTGCTGGAAGTCTTTCAAGACTAGCAGGGTTGGGGCGTGCTGCAAGACGTCAATTAGCTGCAGTTCTTGATGAGTTTTGGGGACAAGTGTATGACTTCCATGGGCAAATTACTCAAGAAGCAAAGACCAAGAAACTGGATGCCTTGGGGGTTGATTTGAAACTTTCTTCTTCGCAGCTGAAAGTGGACACCGCTGGGAAGGAATCTAGTGGATATTTCTCATCGGTAGGTGGCAGAGCATCTGATTCATTGATCAATTCAAGTTTATGTGACTCCCCCAAGCAATTGCGATTGCAAAGCAATATTGACTCATCTTATGGAGTTCAGAGGGGACCATCCTCATTGTGGTCCAACCACATGCAGTTGCTGGATGCATATGTACAAGGTCCCAGCCAGAGTATTGCTGACTTAAGTGAGAGACGTTATTCTGGTGTACGCACGCCACCATCTTCTGATGGCTGGGATAATCAGCCAGCTACAGTTCATGGTTATCAGATAGCATCTATTGTCAATCGAATTGCCAAGGACAGGGGTTTCAGTAGCTTAAATGGTCAAATGGAGTCACCAGCACCAATATCCCCATCCTTGGGACCTAGAAATTACAGGGACCCACTCACTGTCTCTATGGGGAAAAAAATGCAAAATGGACTAAGCTCTTCACAAGCGTTAGGATTTCAGAATCTTGCAGTAACTAGAAATAGCCCATTACAGTCTGGAAGACCTTATCATGATGTATACTCTGGATCTGCTGATGATACTGGAACGTCAGCTAATACAAAGAAGTATCATAGCTTGCCTGACATTTCAGGGCTTGCTGGTTCCTATAGGGACCCATATTTGTCTGAAAAGAATGCTCAGTGGGACAAGTCTGCAGGATTTGGTTCCTCTGTTAGTAGATCTGGTTATGAACAGTCTTATTATTCAAACACTGGATCAGGAGCAGGAGGTTCTTTGTCTTTTAATGGACTATCAAAAGGGCATGGGGATGCTTTCCCGCTTCACATGACTCCAGACCCTGGATCCCTCTGGTCCAAGCAACCATTTGAACAGTTTGGTGTTGCTGACAAAACTCGTGCTGTTGGGAGTGGATTGGGAAATTGGTCTAATTCAATTAATCGCGAAGTAACTTCTCCTGTGGATTCAGAGGCCCAACTTCTTCGGTCTTTCAGGCATTGTATTGTGAAGCTTTTGAAATTGGAAGGATCTGACTGGCTGTTTAGGCAAAACGATGGAGCCGATGAGGATCTAATTGATTGTGTGGCTGCAAGGGAGAGGTATTTGTATGAAGCTGAAACAAGAGAAATGAACCATGTAGATCACATGGGTGGATCTACATATTTATATTCTGATGGGAAATCTGGTTCCGCTTTGAGAAATGATGATGCCAGTATTACCAACATTATGGTTTCCTCAGTTCCTCATTGTGGGGAGGGCTGTGTTTGGAGATTGGATTTGATAATAAGCTTTGGGGTCTGGAGTATTCACCGGATTCTTGATTTGTCACTAATGGAAAGCCGTCCAGAGTTGTGGGGGAAATACACTTATGTGTTGAATCGTCTTCAGGTAAATTTCTCCAATCTTTTGCTATATACAATTTCAATTTTATTAAGGGATCTTTTCATCTGCAAAAAATGCTTTACTTTGTTTACTGCTTGTAGATTTTCCAGGAAAAGGTGGAAAAAACCTCTTCATCATGTTAATGAATAAATTGGCAAAACTCACCATTCATGTCCTGCACTTAATTGCAATGAGTTTGTATAGGCATTTTAGACGCTGCTATACCAAATCATGTGCTGCTGTGCCTTTTTTTTTTATTATTTTTTTGAGTTGCAACCAAGTCATTTTAGTCAACTATCTTTTAGTTCTCGCCCCTCCTGCTCCATTACAACTGGCATCTACATATATTAAAAATCTCAAGGCATGTTACTGAAAGCAATTCCTCTCTGTAACATCCCTTTGGGAGGCATACATGTGCTTCATTCCTTGGCTCTTGAAATCCTATGAGGGTGTGTTTTCCAAGTATTGTCTTCTTTTTTGCCTTGTCCTTTAAAACTATGCTTTCTGAATAATAATAGGGCATCATAGAATTGGCATTTTCAAAGCCCCGCACTCCCATGTCCCCATGCTTCTGCCTTCAAATCCCTGCATCTCACCAGCATAGGTCAAGTCCACCTGCTTCGAATGGGATGTTGCCCCCTGCTTCGAAACCAGGCAGGGGGAAATGCACAACTGCAGCAACGCTTCTGGACTTGATTAAGGATGTGGAGATTGCCATATCTTGCCGAAAGGGTCGATCAGGAACTGCTGCTGGTGATGTTGCTTTCCCAAAGGGAAAAGAGAATCTGGCTTCTGTGCTTAAGCGCTACAAGCGCCGGTTATCAAACAAACCAATCGGTAGTAAATGAACAGTGAGTCGAGCAAGGTTCTGACATCAGCTCCTCAGAGCTCGTTGCTTTTGTTCATCAGTTTGCCTGAGCTGGATGGTATCGAGCTGTATAATTTTGAAATGCAGCTTGCTAATCCAGGAATGCAGACAGCTCAGTTGTTGGGTCTCTCTCTCTCTTGTATTAAAAGGGTCCATGCTGCAAAATTTAATTTTCCTTGTATGTTATGTATACGTAGGGATAAAGATAAGTGGAGATGTAATTGCAGCGTAATTAAAGAAAAATGGGTAGGATGGAGGATAGTAGAGTAATCGCAGTTCTTGTTTTGTAACAAAGAATCACCTTGTGTTAAATGTCTCAAGTACTGTATAGCAAGATTACTCTTCTCATCACTTGTATCCCCTGTATGGACTCTTATAAAAAAATTAATTTTAAAATTATCCAATTAAAATGTGCAAAAGTATAAAATATTATTATTAAAATTTTAAAATATAATTTGAGGATGAATCCAGATAAAAAGATTCAAGTTATGATTCAAGTTATAAATTACGAGAGTTAATTTAAATTATTATTATAGTTTTAAAATTTTATATTTTATTTAAGAGTTGATCTAGAGTGTGTTGGATTATGGGTTGGAGTTGGAAAGATTAACCTTGATTGTATTAAATAAAAACAAAAATAAAAATTATTATAATTTAAAATTTTAATTTAAGATATGCTAAGATAATATGGAGATTGTTTTAAATAAAAAGAAAATTAAAAATTATTATAATTTTAAAATTTAATTCAAGATATGCTAAGATAATATGGGGATTGTTTTAAATAAAAATTATTATAATTACAATTCAACTGGGGAGGAGTATGGTTTAAAAAATTGACATGACAGTGGAAGGGACTTATGCGTAAAACGATCAACCGCACATGCAGTCAAGTTATGGTTGACATGGACGTTGATTTATTATTATCCGAAGAACCAAAAGGCAAGGTTTGCTCCGTAGCTACCACATGCAGGCAAAGCGTAAATGGTTTCAGCTATTTCCGGTTGGTTTTTCTACTGAGAGGTAATCCGATCGATAGGGTTATCATTTTATTTTCAATAAAGTAAAATAAGATTATATTTTTTAGATTAATATAGATATTTGTATCAACTTGAATTTTAATTAAATTTATAAATTTTAAAATTAACGATATCAATAATAATAAAATTTATAAAATTTTAATTTTTTAAATTTTAATTAAATTTATAAATTTTAAAATTAACGATATCAATAATAATAAAATTTATAAAATTTTAAATTTTTTTAAAAAAATTAAAATAAAACTAATTAAATTATATCACTCTGAAATATTTTTTGCGTGATATCACAAGCGGAAAGACAGTTGTGGCCCCCACCTGCGTTGTTCTGTGTCTCACTACTGTTCCCGGACCGACGTTCCTCCGGTGCCATTGATATTTTTGTAATAGACGAGGCCCTCCAGAACTATTCCTTTGTGGCTGGCCGCAATGCGTCAGCTTGCCTCCACATATGAGAAGCCAGCCAGCCGTATCATACTAGCTCATCAACTCGCCTGACGCACTGTCACTATAGAGGGCTGGACTTGCGTCTGATATCACTTGACTAACGGCTGCCAAAAGCGGAAGTTGTGATGTTGATCGACCTTCTTCTCATCTCCTTCCAAAAGGGGAAATGAGAGAAAAACCAGTCAAGCAGTAGCACTATCATATCCTGCATCGAGATCCTTCAACTCTAAGACAGCTGTCTCCCTATCAGCATCTCCATGGATGGTCAGAACTCCCCCATCTCTTGCAAAAAAGGCTAATGAGGTATTGTTTTCCTGCGATTTCCGTCCGTTTTGCTATTACAACATTGGAAATGGCTCCTTATCCAGATGTATAGCAACGGGGCACATCCTATAAAGCATCCTGCTTACCCTAAAATTCGGCAGTGATTTAAAGATCGGAAGGTTTCTGTTGTGTAGCTGGTGCAGGATTGACTGCATGACTAATTTCTTCAAAGAGATCGCCAACCCTTCCATCAATATATCCTAGGAAAGGTGTTTAAAAAAAACTAATCAATCGAATAAACCAAATAAACAAAATAAAATTAACCAAAAACACCAAACCAGAGGAAAAATCCATTAAACCAAACCCACCTCCCCATCTCCCTCTGACCTCTCTCTCTCTCTCTCTCTCTCTCGTCCTCTCTTCTTGATTGAAGGCTTCTCGTAAAATCTTTTTTAGAATTTGCTGGTTACTAGATTTGCAAGGTTTTTAGCTGCTTCTCCTTCTTCGTTTTCTTTTTACGAATTTGTTATCATTTGATGCTGGAAAATAATTGTTATTCAATGCTTTTAAAAAGCTATTAATTTAAGTAGAATTCCTTATGACACAAATGATTTATACTTTGGTTGTGTTGAAATTCCCCTAGAGACTTATTCCACCAAAAGGCCAGCAAATAGGTTTCTTACTATGTTTGCGTTTGATGTTACTTATTTTCATGAATCTTATAAGCGTTAGCCCTACGAGATCCTTGAATAAGCAGGGTCTTTGTTATTTATACTTGTCTAGTGTTCATTCTCTTGAAATGCAAATCATCTCCATGATAACCCAATCTATTGGGATTAGATTTCTCGGTTTTATAAAACATTAATCTTAATTAAATTTAATTAAATTAGTTTAAGTTAATTTTCAGTTTAGTTTGATTTATATTCTCTAAAATTAGTATGTCTTGGTTCGGTTAGTTTTTTAAATTCAAACCAAACCAGATCATGAACAACCCTAATTCTAGGGCCTTCTTTCCACTCCTATAAATAATAATCTTTAACGAAGAAAGACCTCTCCTTTATATTCATCCAATCATTGAGAGCCAACTATGATTGATTCTTGGGCTTTGCCTAGATTTTTTTAAAAAGAGAATCAAATTAACCTTATTTTTTAAAAAAGTAATCTTAAAAAAGTAAATGAGTATTGAGCCATATTTTATCTTGAGTCAACTTGAATTATTGATTAGGTTAGATGAAGTCAATTCTTCTTTTATTTTTTCTTAAACCTACACTAGTCTAAGTTTAGAGTCGATCGAGTCCTAAGTCAACTTGTATGGCAAGTCCAAGTTTTATAACTAAGGTTTTTATAATATTATCAATTTCAATATTCAACAAAAACTAATGCATATTATGAGTGAAATAAACTTTTTTTCATATATTATTCTTTCTTGACCATCATAATCAAACATAATATAAAAATAATCACTTTATCTCGTATACCACTACTAAACATAATTTTATCCTCGCCTTCTTTCATGTATTGTCTACTTCATCTCCGTCTCTTTTGTCCTCGGACAATAACTAAACCTTATTTAAAGGAAGGGAAGAAAATCAATTAGTAATTGAAATATATATATATGAATTGGATGGAAACTTTACTTACATGATAAGAATTGCATTTTGTATTGGTCCAAGTGCTACAATTGTCATAACTTGTTTTTAGCCTTTAATTTTTTAGTCTTTAATTTAATTTTTATTGTGATAATTAAAAAAAAAAAGTAAAAGGAGTTTAAAGAGTGAAATAAGAAGAAGAGAGAACAAAGGACTAAGAACAGTATGGAATAAAAATACTACTAAGAGATTTTACTAAAGAGAAAAGGAAAAAGAAATAGAAGAATCAAGAAAAATTAAAAAAATTATTAAAAGAGATCCTACACATTAAGAAGATAAAAATTAATTAATTAAAAATCCATGGTCAAGAAAGAGAGAAATTGTATAAAGAATTAGAAGACCTAATTTTCATTTCTAGGGTTCATGAAGAAAGTTGAGGAAAAGTATATTGTTAGAAATGGATTTAACAATCATGGAATGAATTAAATTTTAAAATGAACCAAGAAAGAATTCACATAATGGAGAAAATGAACAAATAGTGGAAATTTGTTTAAAACTTATCAATATGTGTGACTTTGTGATGAGTATAAATGGAAGATTGTGGTAAAATGAGTTTTTAGTTATGTTGAAAAATTATATATTCTTTACATGAGAAACAAATGTTAGTAAGTATGGCATGTTAGGGAGAAATTACCTTGATTTTATGCGTGTAGAGGCTATTTCAATAACCTAAAATGATATAAATATAGGATGTCATGATAGCTATGAATGTGTGAAATTAAGGACTATAACTGAATTGAATTGTTTTAACATTTTATCTTAAATATTATTGTTCAAATAAAAAATTCAATAGAAAACTCAAGTCCCTTTTAAATGTCATGTTCAATCAACCATATATAATGGGGGAGAATTGAGTTATGTCTTGAATCATTTTGATGTTTGTGAAAAATTATGTTAATTAGTATAATTGGTAATCAGATTTAGACATTGAAAATCTATTAATGAAAAACTAAGTCATTGGACATTAAAAGTTCATTGACAAAAAATCAAGTCATTATTCACTTTAAATTTGTTGATGAAAAGTTAAGGCATTTGGATATTGATGAAATGTGTGAACATGAAAATGACTTACGAAAATGAATAACAAAATATCCAAAGTTAAATGTGACATCAAATGATATGAAAAATATGTGTGTATAAGATTTTAAGAAATATTTCTTGTTAAAGTTTGAGAATATTGGTTTGATTATTTGTTATGACTATGTCCCTAATGATACAATGGAGGTTATGAGAACAGGACAACAATAAGGAGTATAAGGTCTTTCACAGATTCCAGGTAAGTGCTCTTCATCTTATTTTTTAAATTTATAATAATTTATATAAATCTTTAATTCTAGTATTAAGATAATAATTTGCATGTACGTGTTGTAACTTTAATTCTAGTATTAAGATAATAATTTGTATATACGTGTTGTGATGAATTAGTAAAGATTAATAAAGTCTCAATATAATAATTATCTTTAGACAAGTGTTGTGTGCATGAAGTTGGATACATGAGTAGGGCTTGAATTGATAAGTTCCTATTTATATGATGTTTAAGTTGTATGAAAATTCAACTACATGAGTAGGGCTTAGCTTGAGAAACTTGAATTGAAAAAATAGTTATCTATCGTTTGTATGTATGATAGCTGCCTATATATATGGGGCTAGGACATCAATCTTTTCGTCGTGTCACCTATCGTTTGTATGCATGATAGCTGGCCATATATATGGGCTAAGGTCTAGGTCTTTTGAAGGACATGTTTAATGCATTTTTATGCTTGGGAGTCACCCATAAGAGTGGGGTTATAAATTGTTAACTTTAAGTCAGCTATGAAGAAAAAGGACTTAATCATAAAATTTAATGTACCAACCACAAGTGTGTAGGTAATGAGTAATTTATAATTATCCACATCAATTAGCTTCTTTATCCATGCATTAACTTTTAAGTTTAAGGTCCTACACATGGATTAATTCT